GGCGCCTGCACTGGTGGCCACCCCCGTGCACTGGTGGCGCCCCCATGCACTGGTGGCCCCTGACGGTGGCAGCCGCCCCCCCTGCACTGGTGCACCGCCTGCCAATGGTGGGTTCCCTGCGACTGGTGCGCCCCCTGCACTGTGGCGCCCCCTGCACTGCGCGGCACCATGCACTGGTGGCGCCCCCTGGGCACTGGGTGGTGTCCCCTGGCACTGGTTGGTGTCCGCTGCACTGGTGGGTGTCCGCCCTGCCACGGCGGCTGCCCCCATGCACATGGGCGAGCAGGTGCCCCCTGCACTGGTGGTGCGCCCCCGCTGCACTGGCGGCACTCCCGCACTCGGCAGGCCCGGCCCGCCCGGCCTGCCGCGCCGCACCTGCGGCAGTGGCGCCCCCTGCACTGGCGCAACTCCCGTGCACCTGGTGCGCCCCCTGCACTGTGGGCACCCCTGGCAACGGTGGCACTCCCTGCGAGGGTCGGTGCTGCCCGTGGCTCCGGTTCGGTCAGCGGCTCGAGAAGGTCGGCCGGACAAGAGTCCGACGCGCACCTGACTCATCCTCGCCTCCACCAGCACCGCAGTCCATCTATCCCAGCGCAGCTCGCACAGCGTGGCGCCCTCGCTTCACGCCGACAGGTCACCGTCGAGCTTCGCCGACTGAAGTCGTAGAGCACGGGCGTACGTCGCACGAGGGAACTCGCCTGCACGCGAGACCGGCGATCTGGTAGTCGCGCTCCGCGGGGTCACGACCTCAGCAGTGGGGGTCGTCTGCTCGCCGTGGAATAAGGTCACCGGGGGTCTCGCCCATCGCGAAACGTTGCGGGGTCGTATCTTATCGAGAAAGGTTTGCAGGGCAGTCGTCTCCCCACCGTGGACGTATTGCGGGGGACGTTCTCCACGCGTCGTCGTGCGGACAGTCGACGACGACCTCAACGAACTCGCCGGGAAGATGCCGACGCATCACGTCGACCTCACCTGCATCCAGGGTTGGCGCTCACGTAGCCACCGCAGCATCACGATCTGACGCCGGCCTCCAGCGCCAGCTCGTCGCTCTTGCGCACGGCGTGAACGCAAACAGCCCTGCGCGTACGGGTCAGCCAGCGTAGGGCCGCCGCCGGCCGGCGCGGCAGGCCTGCGCGACTGCGATCCTGCGTGTCGCGACCGGGGAAGTATGCCACGAGGCGTCGCGATCATCCGGCGTAGCGACCCGCGACGAGCGGAGAGTACGTCTGCGTTCGTAATGACGCCTCGTCGCCCATAGCGAACCGGAAGAGGCAGGGGCGACGTCCGCGTATCCGCGCGGCGCATCGACGCCGCCCACGCGCTGCCAGCCTGCCCCACGCTGAAGTGCAGCGCCTCCATACGCGAGCCAGCCCCGTACGCCGCGGCGACCTAAGCGGGGGCTCCTCCTCCTCCTCCCTGCCTCCTCCCGTCGTTGTCGCCAGCAGCCAACGAACCGGCGGCGGGAAGACGCCGCGTGGCCAGTTCACGCTGCCGCGCAAGCCAGCGCGTCGTTACGTTCTCGCACGTACACGGTCGATGAACGTCGCCCTTCAGGAACCCCCAGTTCCTCTTCACAGCAAATCGGTAGCGAGGTCCATGATGCGCGCGGCTCGCTCCACCGGGAAGCTCGTGCCGACCTCCGACCCGCCGGGGGCCTCCGTGCGACCCTCCACGAACCACCGCCCGGCCGGGGCCCCGCGCGCGACCGTCCTTACGTGGTTCGCCGGGAACACGCCCTCGCGCCGCCAGCATCGCACGTCTGCCAGCCGGCGTCGACAGGCGCGAGTCGCCACGGACAAACGTCGCCAGAGGTTGAATAGTCCGAGGTCGCCCACAGTCGCTCGCCGCAGAACGACTTCGGTGGCGGCGAGGAGGACCCTCCGGGGAGAGTGTCGGGAAATTCGGCAGTGGGAGGCACGAACGCGCAGGAAGGCTCCGTAACGGCGGCCGTCCCAGCCTCGCACGAGGAGCCAGTTCTTGTCGCGGGCGGCCCGCGAGTTCGTACGACTCGCCACGCAAACAGCTGTAGCTCAGCACGATCCGGCCGTAGAGAAGTCAACACGGCTGACGTACGAAGGTGCCATTCATCATCGGCTGCCTGAAGAAGTACAGAAGCGCCGTCCTGTAACAACATCGTCTACACACCACGCTGCCAGCAGTAGCTGAGCAGTAAGCAGTAGCAGGCAGTAGTAAGCAGTAGTAGTAGAGCACAGCAGGAGGCAGCAGCGTACAAAAAAACAGAGCAGTGTGGCTGCAAGCACAGCAAGAAGCAGAGCAGCAGCAGCACATTAAAATGCAAAATAGTAAGGTTATTGTTGAAAAACATCAGTCAGACCGGCAGCAAATGTTGTAAAGGTACGAAGTAAGATTCATCTTAGGTTAGAAGAGTAGTCCAGTCTCATCAATGTAGATGCGACCATACTGAGGGAGGAGGTTCAAACTACCAGGACTCTAATCCGATTTATCTTGCCAGCAAACCACCAAGCTAAAAACAGCTTGCCAAGTGGCAGCACTGTATAATGATATATCCAACACAATAACACAATTAGTACAGCAAAAAATACTGACAGAACTGACAATAGCAACAAGCCTACGCGCAACGCAGCAATCAAAGTTCAGTCCAAGGAATGGTTACTAGAAGCTAGAGATATTATCTATTTCCTAGCACATTGTGTCCCTAAAGATATGCCGTGGCATACATGTTTGAAAAGAGTACCAATATAAAATAGAAGGCCTTATGACTTGTGTGGGCGATTTCTACATGTAAGGTAGTAACAGTACAGTATAGCATGTTACCTCCATAATGGAAATGTGATGAACTAGTTTTAGAACCGAGATGAAAAGTGTGTCTTGTGTGTCCAGGGGTTCTAAGCCAACTCATTGCTTGTGGGCGGGCGCAGCCACACATGTGGTTTATGATTTATGCTGAACAAGATTAGATTTATTTAGCAACATCATATACAACTATCTATTAGCCGCAGAGCGTGCTGGGCTCATCTGAGGATCTGTTTGCTAAATGATAAACGCAATCATTTAAGTCGTCCGTGCGTAGTGAGACTTTGTTAGGGCGCAGATATGCAGATACGCAGTTGCCGTACACATCACATTTCAGCAACCTTAAGAACTGCATTATCTGCGCAATAAGCCTCCCAAATCCACATTGGTTATACAATCGCGTGCCTCAATATTCGTCCTAAGTACACGCAACGCGACGCACGCACGCAGCACGCACGGTGTACTGACTACAAGTAAACAGCGCTTCTATCAGAACATGTGGTTATTCATCTGTAGTGTCAAGCAGCATCGCTTCGCTTCTGCCAACGCAATGACACATAAAAAAATACAACTGACCTGATCATTATTGACGTCACGTGAAACACTACCTAATATAGAGGTACGGCATATATAATATGTGACCGGTACGTTCCGGTTAATCCGGACTGTACCCAGGTACGTTCCGGCAGTAAATGCCA